ATTAGCCAGGAACGGCTCCCGGGAGCCCAAATGTTTGCTTTATTTGGCGAAGTCAACAAAAGAGCAGCCAAATTCGGGAGGATCTGATAACGTCTTCCTCAGCGCTCAGGTCCTGCACGGGCGGCCGGGGAGGATACGCGCCCGTGCACCCAGCTTGGTGCGAGTAGCTGTCACGGTCATAGTCACCACCCGACCCGGGGGACGGTGGGGTCGTAGGAGACCGGAGTACACAAGGACACAGCGCTTTGTTCCCCTGAATGTCTTTATTACAGATTACTATTAGTAATCGATTATAATTCCAATTAGTAAAGCAAGTGTATATTACAAGTTACTACAAATTACTAGCAGAAAAGCAAGCGTGTAAACGTATATATATATTTTTTCATGATTAATCACTTACATGCCTTTCTATATACATAAAATCATCATTCAAATTATTACTGGCACCGTTCAACAAACCGCTCCCAGGAGCGGGGCCGGTTGACGATGGATGGTCTCCCTTCAAAGACAACGGTTGTCACGGAGCCAGCGACGGTCCAAGGGGTCGCCCAGGGACGTTCACCTGGGGGTAATGCTCAGGAGAAAGAGGGCCTCGTTTTGGGGGGTAGAAAGCGAGTTATTTTTATGTCTTTAGTGTAGATGCACGAGTGGGCGCAGGACAGCAGCTCCTGGAGCAGCCGCCGCTGACTCCTGCTGCCTTAGGAGGTCAGTTCGTTATAGTGGTGTCTTTGTTCCGCAGGTTATAGCAGGGTCTTTGTTCCGCAGGTTATAGCAGAGTCTTTGTTGGGCGCTTATCTACGAAGGCCCCCGAGCTCCCGCCTGCGCCTGTCAAGGATGCTCCGGGTTCCTGTGCCAAGTTCCCAGGCTGGCAGACACGGTCCCGGTCAGTATTTGAGCAGAAAACATCTATCTGTGGTTTTCCCCGTTAAAACCAGGTCGTCTTTCTGGTTGCACCGACAACAGGGTGTGCTGCGGGGAAGGTGCCGCGGTCAGGGGTCTGCTACAGCTTCCTGACACGGAACTGGTGATGTTGGGGAGCTGGTCCCAGCTGGCGGTGCCAGGGGAGATGTCCACGAGGCAGGATCATGGGGTAGTCGAGGTGGGAAGGGCCCGCAGGAGGTCGGTAGCCAACCTGCTGGATGAAGCAAGGTCAGCTCTGGGGGCAGACCAGGTCCCTCCACGTTGGGTCTTGGAGTCCTCCAAGGATGGAGGCTGCACAGCCCCTCTGGGCGACGTGTCCCACTGCTGCACTGACTTCCTGGGGGAAAAGCATTTTCTCATGCCCAGCCTGGAGCTCTCACGTTTCAGCTGATGCTGTTGTCTCTCCCACCATGCTTTACGGCGAAGAGCTGGGCTCCATTTCCTCAATAACCTCTTCATAAGGATGGGAGGGTCCTCATTAGGTCCCTCCACCCCAAAGCTCTCTCATCTCCAGGCCAAACCAGCCCATCTCCCTCAGCATCCCAACGTGGGACACATCCTCTCGTTCCTCTTGGTGGCCTCCATCCATCTTGCTCCAGGTGTCTTCGGTGTCAGGGGTCCAAAAACTGGATGCAGTTGTCACCAAGATACACGCTTAGAAGAAGGGCCAGGTGGCCTCAAGACCTGCTTGGCTGGATGGAGCTTCACAGCCAGGCCAAGGCCACAGGTCTACA